ATTGTCTGTTTTAATTTAAGTTCTTGTAAACTATCTATTCACTCCGAAATAAATTTACAATGTTTTAATATAATTCTCTAAAAACTATTATTTTTTTTAGATTGTGATTTTGTTATTTTACTTTTGTCGCGGTATGTCATTGTTTTGACAATTACTGAGCACTCACAGGATCTGTCAGGAAGTTAAACATCGTTTCTCGGTTAAGGAATAAGAAGAAGGATTTTGTTTGGGAGTTTGGAAAGAGAGTAAAGGATTACAAATGATAGCACATCAATCTTTTACGTCTTTTTAAAAATCTAAGCCAAGTCCTTTTCTCTTAACCAAGAAACGGTATCTAACTGATAGATCCGGAGCGCTTAGCAATTGTCAGAATGATATATTCAAAGATTAGATTCTCAAAAAAAGAAAGCGACAAGTGTAAATTTATAACAACATTAACATTGTGAAAACAATAATAGTTAAAAAAAAATGATATTAAAAGATTGTGAATTCACTTCAGAGTATATTAAGTTTGATTTTATAATGCATAAAATTTCAACTACATTATGTTACTAAACTTATTTTAATTGAGGCAGTTTTTGAGTTTGAATTAATTGAATAATGGGATTCATTTTGAAATAAATACAACAATGAAATTTAATAGAATTCTAATAGGGACTTATTTCATAATTTATGAATATTTGCGTATATCTAGCCGCGGGAGACTCGCTTATGTGCGTATCGTACTATGCGTGCGTTTAGATATTACAACAGATTCTCACGCGCGATATCTCGAATACGTATGAACCCGTGTTGCCACAGATTAGCCTGCAAAGAAGAAGACGCATAACACGATGCTGTTTTCTTTAAGTTGGCGTGGTGTGCGTCGTATTTCGTAAAACATGCCGCTGAATATATTTACGAGTGTTCGAGGATGTACCTTTTTTGGGGGGAACTTTGCATAAACTACAAGAACATATTCAGAAAAATATTCGGAATTAAGAGATCTCCATCCTAATGATAATCTGTTAGATGTATCAGTAGCGGTATTCTGTTGGTCCTAAAATTAGGATGTAGATATGTTACAAAAATTGTTTCTAGTGGGAGTAAAGTATTGAGCAAATAAGAAATTTATGTACATTTATTTGTACATTAAATATTCTTGTGAAAAAAATTATGCATAAATATGTGCAGATAATAAAACTGCATATAATAATTGTTTTTTTTTTTTTTGTTAAATTAAAAACGAAAGCATTCTAATGCTAGATACTATTGAAAGATATTACAAGTGAAACAAGGAAGTGTTTAATAATAAAATATACGTTTGCATGATGCTTGTTAAGGAATCTTTGTTAATTAATCTTTAAAAAATTCGTAAACCTTTGATAAGAGATGGTGATAAGTTATTCTTCTAATTGATCAAGTATGGAAAATCGTATTTCTCATTGATTAGGGGTTAATTTAAGAGATACTATCGATTGAATCTTCATGACAGCGCACATCTGTCAGGCATTGCTTGCGAGCTGTCATATTATCATCATGATCATAGTTCAATTATGTTCGTAAGCATAACGAGGAAGGGTTAACCTTTTGTGATCTAAGATAATCTCGAGAGAAGATGTGATAAATACTAAATACATTTTCTTTTTTTATATATAATATTACAGTAATACTATAAAACATTTTTTGATATTATAAGTAATAATACAATAATCAATTTATTATAAAGTTTTGCTAAAATTTTTATGAATTATTTTCATATATATTATTTTTTACAAAAAATATATATATTATTATAAAAAAATATTCCTATAATATGAATACGTATGAGAGTCGCTAAAGGTTTAACGCTATTTATATTTACTATATATGTATTTGTTAAAATACGAATGAGAATGATTCGAGATAAATATCACACTGACCGATCCGCGATCGCGCAGGTGCATCGACCGCGCGTTTCTTCTTCGGAATGAAAAACCGCAGTTCACCTGCTACCGACGAAGACAATGGAGGCAGAGAGAATAAGAAGGAAAAAGGAAGGAAAGGAGGGTAAACGATGAGAGTAAACACGATATACAGTCTTTTCAATAAGAGCGTGACCGACATAACTTTTAAACTATGTAATAATAATAATAATAATAAACTATTGAATTTAAATAAAATAGTCAGTGGGTTTAAATTAAAATAAAAACTTTTATTATACAGTGCGCCCCACATATACACAATAGTTGCTAAAATATCAAACTACATTTTAAACGTAGGTTGCAATAAAAAATACATATTACATTAATAATTGCTGCCATTAAGATCAAAATATCGCTAAATATAAACTTATAATAATACATACATATATGTATGTATAATTATATATATATATATATATATATATATATATATATGTCATACTATTAATTTATTTTTATGCATTACATTTTTTTACATATATTTGTAAATTTCTATTTTTTTAAGTTTTGTTCGAAATTTTTTGCACAAAGATAACTCCAATTTTTTATCTTAGAAAGCAAATTGTAACTTTTAATTTAATAAATCTGTTTAATACAAAATCAAATTTATTTGTATTAGAAGTATTTAAGTTCATTTATTTAATAAAAGTATTTATTACTAAATCTTTCTTTTATTTATATAGATGTTACTTACAATTTTAATAATAATGTTTGCATGCATCTAATTATAAGACTTTTAAATTGATTCAAATTTTTGTGTAAAAATTATTTACATTATTATAAGACATAGTTATAAAAATAAAAAAGCTATTTATTGTTAAAAAAAGAAGTAACATTTATATATTTATTTTGTAAATTGGAGTTAATATTGTTTTTAATTATTTTTTAATTTGAGAATAAATTTTTAAATCAGTTAGAAAGTATTTTAAAATTAGATTATTAGGAAATTACTCAACATTTTTTATTCAGTATTGTAAGAAATTTTTTCTAACTATAGTATTATTAATTACTAGATACAATATTTTGGAAACCTTTGTAATCAGAAAATAATGCCAAAATTAATATTTTGTCATGTCAAAACTGTTTTACATTACAAAGCTGAATTAAGTTTGTCATTTTTTATAACACATATGATAATCAGAATTAATAAAATTATTAAATTAATTTCAATTAATAAAATTATAATCAAAATAAGAATTAAAACTCTAGTATATTAACAACAAATAAAAATTTTAACTTTATATTTCTCGGAATCTACAAAAGCTGTGGCCATATCAGCAGCTAAAATTGTCACACTGAACAAATAATCTAGTATTTAATAATACTAATAATAGAGAGATATAAAAATTTTATCCTACTGTTATTATGACGATGTTGAGTAATCGATGTTAGATTCATGCTGCTTTTCTTATCTGCATCACGACGCAAATTTATCAAAATATATTGTTTTACACATAAATTGGGGCAAAATATATTACAATAAATGCACTGTCTGGATTGATATACGTTCTCAGTCAAATTGAATATAGCTTTCCATTCATTTTAGGAGTGTCATGAATAAATGAAATTATTTGTTTTAAAGTAACATTAATAAAAAGTCACAGAATTATTCATGCATTATTACATCTTGGTCATTATCATTTCCCTCCTGCAAAAAGTAAATTAATTTCCAAAAACGATACTATTCTGTTTCGAAATTTAGATGATGCCTTGATGATATAAAGCTTTTTATGCGCACATGTATGTATTAAAATACCGTGCTTATTTATTCTATATATATAATTAACTTGTTCTATAAAATATACGATAAATATAATTATTAACATCTTCAATGTCTTGGACATTATGAAAGCTGTAAAATAATTCATTTAATGTAATATAGACGACTAAAACTTATTTAACATTTTACGCAATCGATTTTTAAGTCCGTGTAGTTATTTCGCAGATTCGAGGTTCATCTTTCTTTTCTTAATGCTTTATGTTTATGTTTATTATTTTATAGTGACTTTTGAAATTAATGTAATAATGTATTTGCACCCAGTTTGGTGCACCAATTGTTATTTCACAGTGAATGTTATTGGCATTTAAAAGAGTATCATATCAAGTTATTGTTTTCAAAAACATTGCAAACAAATTATAGCATGTTTTTCTCTCATAAACTAATTTAATTTTTTTATGTGTTATGCAAATTTTTTGTATGTATAAGAGATGTATTTTTACTGATTATTTTTAATAGATAACATAAGTGTCTTTTCAAATAAATCGGGATTTTATAAAAATTGCCATTGCTTTATGTTGGTTCATGTCGGTTTTTAATATAAAATATTTTTATTCTAATTATTTTTGAGTAACCCTTAAACAATTTTGTATTAGAAGTAATTATATTTGGTTTTAAATAGCCGCTAGAAAATACATGTAAATAACAGCAATTTATTGAAAAAAGATATAATGAAGATGACTTTGGGATTGCCCTGCAATTCGTGACAATTAATCGCATTTCATCGTTTATTGGCGCTTACTCGCCATCAATCGCGTGCTACGCATCCGGGTCTCAAAAGGGCTTCGAACTAGACCAATTTTAAATTTCGTACACATCGTTACTGTATCGCAATCAAGGTTATTTCATACAGGAGTAGTCTTTTACAGGAGTTGTCTTTTTGATTTATCCGTACAAATTTTAAGCCGTTTTCTAGATATTGCTGTTAGATACAGATTACTATTTTTGTAATATTTTTTCATGTTATAAAGACCATGAAAATTACTTATAATAATAATTTGCACAAAATAGCTTCAATAAAAGGTTATATCGATGCTCTTTTTTAGAGCGATGCGTTTTACGCATAGCACAGAGTTAACGGCGAATAAGCAGCAGCGTAATATTTCACGTGCAGCTCTAAACCATAAAATGTCATTAATTGTCCCGGATTTCAGTGTCATTCCGAACATGATTTTTAAATCTCGAAAATAACTCTATTGAACAAGAAAAATGGATTGCATTATATAATAGTTTATTGTTGTGGGTCCAAAGAACCACAACCAATTATTAATAATAAAATATATATATATTAATAAAATATAAGAAAATATCTATTGCATATCAGATTAAGATATCTAATATTCAGTTTCCGGCTCATGCGAGACACCGGATAAATCGCGCAGCGAAAATTAAAACCTAATTCACTTTTTACGCGACAATGCTGACGAACGATCGAATTTCGTCAGCAAGTTAGATCGTTAAAACTGCAATCAAGTGCAGTTTCACGTATATAAAATCGCCGTCGCGAGATCACGACGGCGGGTCTAAAACTATCATTCACAAGAAACGGACGTATGTCCGTTGGGACCACAAATCTAGAAGAACGCGAATTATAACAATTCGCTAAAAGCGAATAAGAATAACTTGGGGCTCCGTGATACTACACTAAGGCAAGGATTCCTGACGGAACCTAGATTACATAGAAGTAAGGGAACTTGTACTAAATCAAGAAACCAATAAATATATGGGAGATTGTTTTTTTATTAAGAAGAACAAAAAAGGATTATTCCCGGATTCCCGGCCTAACTCCTCGGCAGATCCCGAACCCGTGCCCTATCACCAAGGGCACAACAACATATCTGGTGGCAGCGGTGGGATCTGCCTCTCCTTCGGGACCAGGAACCCGGAAAGTCCAGAGCCTGAAACAAAAAGAAAAAATTTTAAGTGAGTGAAAATTAGTCGGCGGACAAGTTTCAATACGGAGATTATTGAAACGAGAAGACCCCGACCAACGCAGCAGTAAGCAGCCGAAAATTGAGTGCAAAATAGTCGGCGGACAAGTTTCAATACGGAGATTATTGAAACGAGAAGACCCCGACCAACGCAACGGTAAGCAGAGTAGCAGCGCAGCAGCAGACTATCCAGAGCCAAGCAGTGCCGAGCGGAGTCAGCGAAATAGGAGCCAGCCGCAGAAAGCAGCCGAGCGACCTACACCTACAGCCTACGATCTACAGCCGGACAGCGAACCGCAGCTAAGGACGAGGCAACATGCGAGCGATCATACTACTACTACTGTAAGTCCGAACCATTATATAAAATATAAAAACGCGTGAATGTACAAAAGCGAAAGCGACCCCGGTCCCATACGAAATAGGTCGTGGCTATTAAGCAACCAAGCGCGACACGCAATCCGCACAGCGTTAAACCCGATACGCGTTATCGAAGACGCGACTCGCGACATAAGCGATAACGTACGCCGTACATTACAATACACAAACTCGGACGGTGATACCGACGACGAATTGGATGCAAACATAGAAACTAAACGAGATTACACTTTCGAAGATATCGATTCAAGTTTAATTCCCGCTCTTAACGATACCGTGATAGAAGTAAAAACTAAAAAGACTAGACCTTACATTAGTAAAACACCAAGCCGCGTGTCAGATTACAGCGAGTTTGAGCTAACATCATACGATAGTAGCATATTTGATCCGAACAAAATCCGTGAAAGAAGAAACGAAAAAATGTCTCAAAGAAGGAAGAGTGAGGCAGACATCGAAATAGAAAACGAAATATCCGCATTAATGGAGCAAAATACAAGAGAAAACGAAGCCAGCGGACTTCGAACGGGAACACGCCCAAAAAATAAAAATCAGATTTCAGCACTAGAAGAAACAATGCACGAAATGCGCGAACAGATCGCGACATTATTTGAGTATCTTCATGCGCATCATCACGAACGAAATCCACGACAAGAACGCGAAACCGACATTTCATACGGTCGAACTACTGAAGACATACGAAACAGACAATCCACTGACGCACAACGCTACATGACATCAAAAAACGCGATAAATTTAATACCTATTTTTGACGGTACGTCACGAACGAACTTAAAATCATTTCTAAGCGCTTGTACATGTGCAATGAAGTATGTAAAGCCCGAGTTCGCAGACGAGCTACTCGACGTCATAATGTCGACTAAATTGCAAGGCAGAGCATTAATAAATTTTGAGATCAAAGATATCAGATCGTTTGAACAGTTAAAAAACGAACTGGAAAGCTTTTACTACCCTAAGAAAAATCCTGCATCGATTCAAATTGAATTTAATCATTTGAAACAACGACCCGGAGAAAGTGCAGTAG